TTTTGTAGAGCAGGAGAAACAAGAGAAAAGAGCAAAGCCTACAAGAGATGTGGATTATGTGAGAAACCTAATGTGAGGGTCATAGGGTTACCAGAAGGGAAGAGGACAACACCCAAGGGTTGGACAAGCTATTTGAAGATATAATAGGAGGAAAAATTCCCAGGCTTGCTCAAAATCTCGATATACAAGTTCAAGAAGCTCAGAGGACCCCTGGGAGATTCAATGCAAACAGAAGATGTCACGACATGCAGTCATCAGACTGACCAAAATATCAACTAAAGAGGCCCTTCTAAGAGCTGTAAGATGAAAGAAGCAAGTGACATACAAGGGAAAGCCAATTTGCATAACACCAGACTTCTCTAATGAGACTGGGGCCCCATTCTCACTCTTCTGAAACAAAACAATGCCCCCCCTAGAATCTTATTCCCTGCATAACTAAGCTTCCTATACGAAGGAGAAATAAAGACATTCTCAGACAAGCAAAGGCTCAGAGAATTCACCAAGACAAGACCAGCCCTACAAGAAGTACTCAAAACAGTGTTACGCACGGAGCACCATAATAAAAACTCACGAATATAAAAACAACCAAAACCCAAAGATTAAAGGCCAGATACATACAATGGCTCAAGAGAGAAATCAAAGCAACAACATCCAACCCAACAGAATGAACAGTAATCTACTACCTATCAGTTCTCTCAATAATGTGAATGGCTTAAACTCCCCACTCAAGACACATAGGCTGGCTGAATGTATAAGAAAATACAGGCCAAGTATTGCTGTCTTTCAGGAAACACATCTAATCTGCAAGGATGCAATAGACTAACAAGTAAAAGGTGGAGATCAGTATTCCAGGCAAGAGCCAAAAGAAGGCTGGCGTGGCAGTTCTAATTCAGACGATTTAGTTTTAAACCAACAAAATAGTGAAAGACCAAAGGAGTCATTATATAACGGTGAAGGCACACTTCAACAAGAAGAGAGATAACAATTTCAATATATATGCACCCAACTTAGGTGCACCCAGTCTTCATAACAAACCTTACTGGATCTAAGCAAATGGATTAATAGCAACCTCCATAATCACCGGAGATTTCAAACACCCCACTGACGACACAAGACAGATCCTCCCAAACAGAAAATTAATAAAGAAATAATGGACTTAAACAAACCTTGGAACAACTGGTCTGACTACAGGACATTATACCCAAAATCCACTGATATTAATACGTTCTTCTCATCAGCTCACGGACATTCTCTAAGATTGACCATATCCTAGGACACAAAGTAAATCTCAAGGAATTTAAAAAATAGAAATCATACCATGTACCTTCTCAGATCACAGTGGATAAAAGTAGAAACAACCCTAACAGGAAACTCACATTTCTACACAAAAACGTGAAATTAAACAACCTCCTACTAAAATGATTACTTCATAAATGAAGAAATCAAGATGGAAGTTAAAAAATTCTATACTCCTACAC